TAAGGGTTGCGTGTTTCTTGCAGCACTTTTCGGCCCCATTTCGGTTGTACCAATTAAGTCAATTGGGCAGATGTGATGACTTCCTGGTATGAACTCTGCCACAAAATCTACCAAAGCTTGAGCTTTTATTGCGGTTCTGGGTTAAAATTTTATATCATATTGTCCAATTCCACCGCCCATTTCAAGATTCTCCTAGAAAAGTTTGCCCTCTCAAACAAAACTTTTAATGGGAAAGCTGTTAAGACGATTATGGTGTGGGCGTTGAAGTAATACGACAGTTTCCTAGAAGCCATCATTAGGGCTAAAGCCAGTTTTTCCAATGGCAAGTACCTGGTTTCTGCGCCCAACAAGGTCTTGTTAACATAGAAGATGGGCAGGTATTGGATTCCTTCTGCTCTGACCAACACCGCACTGACTGCGTACTGTGAAACTGCCAGGTACAAAAAGAGCTATTCTCCAGGTATTGGGGTTACTAGCAACGGTGGAGAAGACATGTATTCTTTCAGGCTTTTTAGGGCGCGGTCGCATTCTTCATCCCACTCAAACTTGGCCTTTAGTGCTTGGAAGAATGGTCGACATCTGTCTGACGACCGACTTATGAACCGGTTGAGCGCAGCTGCCATACCTGTGAGATGCTGCACTTCTTTTACTGAGTTAGGCCTCTCTAGATCCTGAATTTCTTTGATCTGAGAGGGGTCTGCTTCTATACCTCGGTTGGTCACCAAAAAGCCTAGGAATTTGCCTGATCCTATGCCGAACGCACACTTAGATGCATTAAAGCGTAACTTGTTATTCTTTAGGATCTGGAACATCTCATCTAGGTCCCTGAGACGGTCCTTCTCATCCTTGCTCTTGACCACCATGTCGTCAATGTAAGCCTCAATCGTTCTGCTTAACAATGGTTCAAACATCTTGGTGACCATCCGTTGGAATGTTGCCCCTGCGTTCTTTAGGCCAAAGGGCATGACCTTATAACAATACAACCCTTTGGGCGTTGTAAAAGATGTGACCTCCTGGTCAGGTTCATACATAGTAATCTGATGGTAACCGCTATACGCATCAAGGAAGCTAAGTCGATTATGGCCTGCCGTCAAGTCTACTAGTTGGTGTATCCTAGGTAAGGGAAAGCTATCTTTTGAGCATGCCTTGTTGATTATTTTGTAGTCCACGCGAATACGCCATTTTCCATTCTTCTTTGGCACCACCACTGTATTGGATATCCACTTGGGATAGTGCACTTCTCTAATAGCTTCTCCCTCTAGAAGGTTTTCCACTTCTTCCGCCACTATCTCGGCGTGGTGGAATGCTGATCTGCGAGTGCATTGTATAATTAGTCTGGCATTTGAATGGACGTTTAATTGGTGACAGATAAAGTTTGGGTCAATGCCAGGCATGTCATACGGCGTTCAGGCGAACACTTCGATGTTAGAGGTTAAGAATTCCATGACCTATATTCTCTCTGTGCTGGACATAAATGAGCCGAGCAAAAAGAATTTTTCTGGGTTCTTTTCATCTATCCTTACCTGTACCAAGTCTTCCACTGCTTTCTGTTCAGCTGCCTTGCCTACATCCGCAAACAGTTCATTGCTCTCTGATTCTTCCACCATTTGTACATACCCTTGGGCAGCGCGACTGCCATTTATTGTGACGAAGCATTGTTTGGACATAATTTGGTCTTCGAAGACCTCTTCAATTACTCTAGCTTCATTGGGGAATTGTAACACTTGATGGTAGGTTGACGCTACCGATCGCATGGCGTGCGACCATGTCCTTCCCAAGATTATGTTGTATGTGGAAGAGACTTTCAATACCCAAAATTCCACCTGTTTTGTCATGCTTTCTGCTCTGACTGTGAGGATTATTTTGCCCACTGACCACTCTGGCATTGAGTTGAATCCGATTAGGGGAGATGTTGCAGGCACCAAGTCTTTGTCCTCCAGTTTCAATTGTTTGAAGGTTTCGTAATACATTATCTCACACGAGCTTTCCTGGTTGATCAAAATCCGTTTGATGTCATAATCCTTGACGTGGAGTGTGACGACCAGTGCATCATTGTGAGGGCAATATACCATTACCAAGTCTCTATCTGAAAAAGATATGACATTCGTGGCTTATGTTCTCCCCTTTTTGATGGCAGGTTGTGCATTTAATACCTCCCTTAAGTGCTCAGCCTTCTTGATCATTCCCCTGAGCTCACATACTCTGCTCACGAGCTTCGACACTTATAAATCGCTCATTCACGTTAATCAACGCCTTGAGGTGGGCGTCGATCGGCAATTCCGTTGGTTTTGGGGGGCTGGCTGTGTCCCTCATTCTATGTACTGGTCCAGGTGCCCTGCTGCCACTAACTCCTCCAAATGCTGCCTCAACGGTGTGCAATTTTCAGTGTGGTGCCCCTTTTCATCATGGAAGGTGCACTGGGACCTCTCGTCATAGTCCTTTTGTGCTTCTCCCAACTTAGTTAGCCATCGGACGAAAGGTTCGTCTTGTATCTCACTTAGGATTCAGTAGATTGGTTTTTTGAACACCGTGGTAATGGTAGTACGAACTCTTAACCACATTTTGTCTGGGTTTTCTCTGTTGGCCCGCCTGCCTCGCCTATTCCTGCTTGGTCGTTCTACCGTGTTGACTTTTGCCGAAGTCTTTTTATCTGGTATTGCTGTTGTGCCAGATTTTGCCTTAGCACGGGCGCCATCCTCTTCCACACGAATATGTTGGTGCACTCTCTCCATTAAGGCCTCAATCGTGAGGGGAGGCGTCATAGTGATTGAATCCCTTAATTTGTTGCCGACTGGCAAGCCCCGTTTGTATTGTGCAATGGTGAGGTTTGTAGGACAATCTCCTATCTGGTTGAAAGTTTTCCAGTAGCGACTGTTGTAGGACCTCAATGTTTCTTTGTCGCCCATGTCAATGGAGAGTAGCTGATCGATCTCCACTAGTGTCTTGGTGTTCGTTCTAAACCTTATCACGAACGCCTCTGCCAATTGTGCCCAGGAGGCGATGTTGCCTTCTGGTAGCCTTTCGCACCAAGTTAGACCCAGGTCGCCTAGGCTGGACGGAAAAATGATGCACATTAAAGCCTCATTTCATCGGTATACTGCCATAACCTAGCGAAAGTGGCTCAAGTGCATGTAGGGGTCTGCCTTCCCCTCATAAGTGATGAATTTGGGTTGGTGAAAGCCCGAAGGTAGTGGTGCGTTCTCAATTGCCAGAACGAACGGCGAGGTCTGCAGCCTTGCTAATGTTTTGTCTGTTGGTTCGTAAGCAAGGCGCGGTATTGGCATTCCTACCTCGACGCTCCCAGGCATCCGAAGAGCCAACCGCTAAAGAGAAGAAACTCTGTACGGGTCGCGCGCCTTGGTATCTTCCTTCCATCGTGCCCTTTCATCTAGCACGGTTCGCAAATCGGATGATCTAGGCAACTTCGTCTGCCTGGATGACGTCTGGTGCGTGCGCGAGGGCCGATAGGTGCTTCCCTCAATATATGACCTCTCAGTTCTTGTTCTCTCAGACCTGGAGTAACGAGTCCTGGGAGTTCTTGGCTGAGTGTCGCCTATTCTCAGGCTCCTACTCTCTGTTTGCGATGGTGTGGTATGCCTACCACGTTCTTCCGAGTGGTGAGGGGGCGTGTTGCTTTTGCACCCCTCTCTTGTCGCCACCCCTTTTCCTTTGATCTGGCGCTTCTTTGACTCCATGTCTGCCGCCATTTTCCTTATCAACTCGTCCTGCTCCTTCACACGATCTTCTAGAACTTGAGGGTCGATCATCCGCCTCTGTCTTTCGGGACTTTGAGAGCGACGGGGGCTGTTAGCCCGCCTCCCCCTTGCATCCCTCCGGGGGTCCTATCGCTGGGGTTCTAAATCCGCCATGGGAGGGATAGCAGGCAAACCTTCGCGCCTCCCACCCCCCTCAGGGGTTTGTCCGTCAATAGCGGATTACGGCAAATCTTCGTTGTGCGCCATTGCTTCCAATGAGAGAGGAAAAACTTGATCAAGAGGTTTTGTTCTTTCTGGACTTCCCATAGATGGCGCCAATTGTACGAGCACGAAATAATTATTCTCGTATAATCCTGTTGACCAAGTCTGCGTTCCTCCAAACGTCGTCGCTTAACTCCCTGAAAACATAAGCGTGAGCTAGCCGGCGGGTGTGTGCCGGATACCTCTTCGATGCCTAAGTCAGAAAAATAGACAAATAGACAAAAGCTCTGTGTATTCGAGAATCAAAGTTGTGTTACCTCTCCACAGGTGGTGATGTGAGTTTTTATAGGTTCCGCGTGGCACAATCCTAATAGGACTCTTATTCCTCCATGTAGAGTCCTCCTAGGAATCACACTCCTGAAAGATAATGATTATCCTTCAACACCCCCTCACTGCTTAAATCAAGTGAGATGGTCTTACCTCGGTAGTATGACAAAACGACCGAGCTAACATAGCCATGCTAAAGCGGCAGAAATGACCAAGCTCCAACTAGCTCTGTTCTTCACTTCATTACTTGTACCTCGGTTTGGTCCGTCGAGACCGAGCTAACCATAGCAAGCTTGGACCGAGCTAATTAAGAGCAAGGTCCTGAGGAAAGTTCAAATCATCTCGGCTCAGAATGGTATGATCGAGCTAATTACACTGACCGTGGTAAGCCCAAGTAAAATTGGACCGAGCTAACCGCAAGGTCCTTTCACTCGGCCCTTTTTACCGCGGCCCATTTACCTAGCTCGGCCCAATTTATTTATAAATTACCCTTTCAATTGTCTTTATGAATATGTTATAACACTTTTATTTCGTTACTCTCCCTCTCTCTTATCTATTTCATCAAATAAAAAACATGTATTATTTTTGGTAAATTTTGTCTCACTAGACAAAAATTATGAATCTGTCCCTACTTTTCAATCAAGTGATTACAAAAACCATGCTCTTTAATTTTAGTTTTAATTTAATATAATTTTTCTTTCTATAAACCCTCATCAAGCAATAAAAGAGCAACTTGTTGTCTAATGGGAATTGCAGGATTTCAAGAATGTGTGCAATATGGGAGGAGGCTATCTTGCATGGGTAGAGAATGGCTTTGCAGTGACTAAACCCTCGGAGGAGAAAGTGGTGCTTTGAATAATTTATCATTCAATATTTATGACATTTAACTGTATTTTAGTTGATGTAATCTACTCTATGTTCCACACATCTTTCACCAATAAGCATTTCACAAATCTATTATAGAGTTTATTTCTGATGCAAAAATAAAGGTAACGTTTGGTAGAATATTACAAATATGATTTGATAATAGAGTTGTATTTTAAGTTTATGAGTTTTGAAATTATGATTTGAGTGTAGAAAATTTGTTTGATTATGAGTTTTGAGTTGAGTGTTGAGTTGAGTTTTGAATGTTTGATGTGACATGTGAAATAAAAAAATTTGTTTGGTTATGAGTTTTGAAAAGAGTTTTCAAAGCTTAATTCAAAAAGTTATTAACTCATAACCAAACACATAACTCAAGACTCTATTGAAAATTTTATTCAAAACTCATAACCAAACTCTTTTTAACATTCAAATAATAAAAAAAAAATGTCATTTTGGTATAAAAAAATAATTTTTATCTTTAAAAAATATTAAAAATAAATATAATTTTTTTTTCCAAATAACATGTAACGATTGACGATTGGCAATTGCAAAAAAAAAAAAACACTGTTCCAATCAGCCTACCAGACGTCCGGGGAGACGTCTGGGAGGATGACTGGATAGACCCAAAATTAAAAAATCCTCTGTTTTTCAGAATGGAGAACACGAAAGAAAGAGAGTAGCCAAACGTAAAGGAGAATTACATTTTGAAATGTGTGGTAGAATAACATTTTGAAAACTCCATCCAAACATGAAATGCAAATGGAGGGGTGGAATTACATTTACAGAACATAACCAAACACAGCCAAACATGCCCTAACATTTTGGATCAATTAAGTTTAAAGTCCTTATATCGTTAGTAAAATTTTTGTTAGGTTTAGATAGACAGAGTTTTAACCAAAATCTTACTAAACAACACAATAATTAAGCAATTGTATTGAGATTCTATGCCTTGAAAGTTCAAGGACTTCCCTGGAGTAAAAATAATGACAATACAAACAAGAAAAGAGAAAGAAAGAAGAAAAGATGATGTAAATGATTGAATGAACAATCAAATTACAAGTGAAGTACATTAAGACTACTCCTATCTAAATTTGAACTACTCCTATGTAGATTAGATATACTCTTAAGATAGAAAAGAAATGGAAATCAAGTCATGAATTAATTTTTGTTGGTCCTTTACAATAGAGTCATTAAGCCTCGTTTGGGAATATGTTATTTTAGTAACTTTTTGATTTTTTACAAAAATATGTGCAGAAAAGTAGAGAGTGTGATGTGACAACTTATAGCGATTTTTTAAATTTTTGGCTAAAATACTTAGTCTCCAAATGAGTCATAATTGCAATTTACAGAAAAAATGAAGGAAAAAGCTTCCATTAACCACCACCTAAATAACTACTTTTAACTTCCTAAATCTTTCATCTTCTTTCTTACAATGCCATGTGTCTTCTATCCCTTGAATCTTTAAAACTTGTCTTAACTTCTCTTTAACCTCCAAGATTTTTCTGCATAGTAATAATAATAATAATAATAATAATAATAATAATAATAATAATAAGAAGAAGAAGAAGAAGAAGAATAAGTAATAGAAAATTCAAACCTAGTCATAATAGACGGAAAATTTATTTATGGTGTAAACAATACCCCCCAACTCTTTAAGAATGAGAGCACTCAAATTCTTGAAGAGTTGTATGAACATAAATATATAATAGAAACTATGAAAATTATAATCGATTGACCATAAATATAATTTTTTTTGTGGCCACATCGAAATATTTCTCCATTACTGTTATATAAAAAATATAAACAAAATCCAAAATTTCTTTTTGTAAACCACTTCATCAAAATTAATTTTTGATTTGCACCACAAAGCCATTGTAGTTGTTGGATGACAGAAATTATAATGTCAATTGACTTTAGAAATTTTTTGACAAAATTAACAATATCAAAAAATTCAAAATCATCAAATATGAATTGTTCGTAATTTTCAGCCATGTTTGGCTTAAAATCATACCCCCTAATTGGATTTTCACCATCATTTTGTGATGGTTGTTCATCAAATTTAGCTATGTATGACTTAAAACCCTGCATTCTAATTGGATTTTCACCATTATTTTGTGATTGTTCATCAAATTTAGCCATGTTTGGCTTAAAACCATCCTTTCCAATTGAATTTTCATCAGCATTTTGTGATGGTTGGTCAACATTCTTTGTCATATTTGACTTAAAATCATACATTTCAATTGGATTGTTAACATTAAAATGCTCAATATCCTTTGGCAACAGAAGTGGATCATCTTTTTCAATTAATGGCTTGAAAAATTGTACCCGGTATGCAATTTTTAGAACTTAATTTTTCCTTAGCCATGGTTTTTGTGGATAGAAAGGTTTGCTTGGAAATGCCTCTTAGAGCATCTCCAATGGTTTGCCATTGGGGCTGCCATTACTATAATATAGCAACTGTGTTAAATTTTGATGCTCCAATGGCAAAACATAGCAGCTGCCAAATTTGAGAAATGCCAAAGCTTGTGTCAAATTTGACACAAGCTTTGGCAGCTGCCATTTATGCCAACTCAGCCAAAACCAACTGTTTCCCTCCTTCCTTCCTTCCCTCCCCTAGCAACTGTTTCACCATTTTTATGTTTTAGAATTTACCAAAAAAAAATTTTGAATAATGCAACATTTTACCATTTTACCCGAAATCAGAATTCACCATGTTACCATGTTTCAGAATTTACCATTTTACCCGAAATCAGCACATTCAAACAAATGCAAATGATTCATCAAATTCAAATCAGTTCATAGGAAAAAAAAAAATAGATTCAGAATTCAGATTGAAACAGATTCACAGGGAAAAAAAAACAAATTCAAACAGATTCAAGATTCACCATTATACCCGAAATCAGCACATTCAGATTCACAGAAAAAATTTAAACAGATTCACTGAAAATGAGAAATACCTGGTTTTGGTAGTTCAAAGTAGATCTGGTAGATCGAAGATAGAGAGATGGAAGATAGAAGACAGAGAGATAAGAGATCGAAGACAGATATTTAGTAGATGGTCGCCGATCGTCTTTTTGAGCATATACCGTCGCCGATCGAAGACAGAGAGATAAGAGATAGAGTGACAATGAAAGACAGGTAGATCTGGTGATCGCCTCTTCCATTCTAAGACTAAAAGAGAAAGAAAGAGATGAGTGAGAGGGAGAGAAGGGTAGAGGTAAACGGTCGCCGATTTCTCTTCGATCTTGTACCGTCACCGATTGAAAAGAGATACAAAGAGAGAAAAGAGCTAGAGAGATAAAGATGATCTCAAAGAGAGAGAGAAGAGTGTCTATGTTGCAAGGGAAGAATCGATCAGTATGAATATAGAAGAGATACAGAGAGAGAAGAGAGTTAGAGAGTATGTAGAGAAGAGATAAGAAGATGATTATAGAGAGATAAAGATATGAAGATGATCTCAGCCATTGGAAATAAGAGATAAAATCTCAGCTATTTGAAATGGGAGATAAAGTGTCTTGGAATGTGTAATATGAGCCCAACAGCTCTATTTGAATCTGAAAGTAAAAAAATGAGCATACAATTTTTAAACAGCTATAATTAAACGGTTATTTTTCTTTTAATTTGAGTAGTATAAATACACATACCTTGTTTTACCAATTTGAGTTCACAACAACAATTTTTCTTTTAATTATATTTTTCACACAATCAGTATGGAATGTTCATTAAAAACAAAGTGGGTGTTTGGGAGGGGGGTTTTTTTGTAAGTTTTTTTAGTTGTAGGATATTATTGGAGAAAAAAAATTGTGTTTGGGAAGATAGTTGAATTTTTTGTGGTTGGATGTGATGTTTGTGAGAGAAAAAGTGAAATGATTATGGAATTTGATGTGATATTTTGTTTGAATTTGTTTTTTTTTTATTTTGTAACCAATTTGTCTTTTAGTAAAAAAAAAACCAAAAAAAACCAAAAATTCCTATTCCCAAACAGCGCCAAAGAGAGGAAAATCATTTACTACTCAGGAAGATGTGTCAATTTGTAGAGCTTGGTGTCACATTACTGAAGATCCAATTGTTGGAAATTCGCAATCGCAAGCTCATTTTTGGGGAAGAATTTTTTAAAATTATTACTCGCTGCAGAATGATCAGTCAAGAATACAAGTGTCTATCTTATCTCGATGGGGTGTAATCATAAAATGTTGTAACAAATTTCATGGGTGTCTAGCGCAAGTCAAAAATCTACATCCAAGTGGGGCGTCACAAGTTGATATAGTAAGATTTTATTTTCATTTATTATGTTAGTTTTTTTTTTATTTTACTTTATATAAAACTTAATTAATTAATTAATTTAATATTTTATTGCCATATAGATGCTTCAAGCAAAACTATTATACCATCAAGATAAAACAAACATTTTGTTTTTGAACATTGTTGGCCAATCTTGCAAAACAATATCAGGTGACAAGATATAACTCCTACGAACACGATGAAGTCAAGGATACATATACCATTTTCCCCTGATTCAGCCCCCGATTCCCCTATGGATAACCATATTTCTCTTGAAGATGACACCAGTCCAAGTATTGGTAATAATCCAACTATTGGTGAGGGCAATGTCACTGCAAAAGGTAAAAGACCTGTGGGTAGGAAAACTGTAAAAGAATTATTTCGAAGAAATCAAGTCGTTGAAGCTGAAGTTCAAAAAATGAGTATGCAATTGGACACATGCAACCAACACCTTGCTGAGAAGGAAAAGAAAAAAGATGAAAGAGAAGAAAAAAGGATTCAAGCACTACAGGAGATGAAAGAACTTGAGATCAGAAAACAAGAATATGAGATAATGATTACAGACATTTCTCATTTGGACCCTTAGGCGAAAGCATATTACACAATGCGAAAAAATGAGATTTTCGCCAAGTGGTCCTCAAATGCCAGCAACCCAAACTACTATTTCCCCATGCCTCCTGATGAATAATTACGGGATAATGTATTTTTTTGCAATGTCATTTATTTTTTTATTTTTAATTTTTTTTTTTTGTAATGAAATTTCATTTTTTTGGGTGGTTGTTGGTGAATGAATGTTGGGTGAATGATGGATGATTGTTGGTG